GATCGAAGCCAATGAAGCACCGGTCACCCACTTGAACAGAAAGACTTCAGAAGTAGACAGAGTCACCGCCCCTCCCGGTGGCCGCACCGGTCGACCCCTCCCACCCGGACAGACGGACTGTGCATGGCACCTCCACCGTGGACGGTGAGGCGAAGGCGAACCCCCCCCCGTTAACACCCCCAGGTGGACGGTGAGTGCCGGAACAACGGTCACCCTATTTCAACATGGGGCAACAACACGCCGGAACAAGCATTGACATATTTTGGGAACGACCTGGTGAACTGGGCCTGTGAAATCGTCAAAGGGCTCGGCGCTTCGGTCGAAAGCCCAATTCGGGTCATCGGAAGCCGGCCTATAGCGGGCGTTGGTTCCCCGGTCACGCTCAGTAGCGGGCGTTGGTTCCCCGGTCACGCTCAGACAAATTTGTGAACGCGACGGGCTCGCTGGAGACTTAGAACCGAGGGGGTGGAAGGATGGGGAGGGTGAAGTTTGTCCTAAGAGAGTGTGTCATTCTTTGGACCAAGAGAGATTGAGAGACCTGAACTAGGACCCTGTAACTGTAGTGATATGTAGTGGTACATATTATCGTATAGACTATAATATGTAGACTGTTGATGAACTCACCCTTCCCCATTGTAGGGCCGTCTGGAGGCATCTATACAGTCGACGACAGTCTACAGATCGAAGGGTTGAGTCGACGTTTCCTCTACAGTCTATACAGTCTTCTACAGTCTTCTAGGGTTATACATGTCTATACATGTCTATATACAGTCTATATACAGTCTTCTACAGATCGAAGGGTTATACAGTCTATACATGTCTATACAGTTTCCTCTCTTGGGATGTTCTGAGAGTTGGTGTGGATGGGTCGTTGGAGGATGGGTTGTGGAGGACTGAAGTCTTCGTCACCGGTTAGGCTGCGCTGCCGCAGAGCGCCAGGTCGGATGAGCTGCTGGGTCTAGCTATATACCGTTCGAACCATCACTGATCTCTATGAAATGGACCACCAACCATCCAAAATGTGTGTTTTTTTTTCATGATTTTGTTTTTTTTTCCCTATCAAAACAGAGGTCAAATATGGTCAAATGATTCTAATGCCATGTTCTAACTTGCCTGTTTTGTTCCTCCACGTCCTGTCCCTTTGAACCCCTTTGAACTGCTTGAGAGCCCTTCGACCACCCTTTTGCACGACCGATCGTATCGCGCTTGGCCTCGCCCCACCGCCTCGCGCGGCACCCGCCTCGCGCTTTGCCTCCGCCGGTCGAGGTCCTTCAACCTGATCTCCGGCGGCGGAGCTCCCAATCGTGTGGACGAGGCGTTGGGCGTGAAGTACTACGAGGCGCCGGATGCGGAGCGGCTGGACGCGGATAGGCTGGGACGCAGCTTGGCCTCTCCTGCTGGACTTGATCTAAAAAAACCTCGAGGTGTTCTGAGTCCGGCGGGCCGCCCGCTCCGCGCGCGCGCGCCCGAGTTCTTCCGTTGAAGACGGTCTCGACGGCAGGTGGAATATGTGGTACGGACGCAGCTGGGCTTCTCCTTTGACTCGTTGAAGACGTTGCATTTCATCACCACCTTCGGCGTCGGGGGGTCTAGCTGCTCGCTCGGGCGGAGGGGTTCCCGATCCAATGGACCGGGGGTGAAGCGGAGCGGTGTTTCGGAGCCGGTGGAGGCGGGTGGAGGCGGGGGTTGGTTGGGTCTTAGTTAACCCTACAAGTCAAAGACCTCACGTTACTGGAGATGGTCGCATAGTTTAAACTATAATACTTAATGATTACTTAAGGAGGTAGTCTAGACATGTCTAGACCAGGTTTTACTGGGTCAGACTGGACGTACGTCGGGTATATAATTTCATGTCTCCGCTCCGTGACAGCTCAGCCGTACCACACCGGAGGTCTCTTCAGGAGATCCGGCGGCTTCGGCCTCGGATCAAAAAGGTCGTTTTGAAGCTGGAGATGTGCCCTCTTGAACAAGCGGTGATGAACCTGACAACCAGGTGGGGTGTTTTGGGATACTTCTGGGGGATTCTATTTCAGCTCAAGATCTGTCCCGAGACATACACTGCTGTCAGAAAGATCTGGACTTCTATATAAAATCACACTCCTGGTATCTCCTGGTACTCCTAGACATCTTGAGGCCTTTGATCAGAAAGACCAGTTTGGATCCACGGCTGGTCACCGCACTCGTCTTCCTCGCGAGTTCCACCGTCTTCGCGGCTCCACCGAGACGGAGCCCTGCCCAGGTGTCCCAGGACGCGGAAGGGAGCGAAGGGGCGGGGGACCGGGGCGGAACACGGGAGACCAAGAGCCTGGAGTCCAAGAAACATAGGCCCCAGCAGTCACGTTCGACGGGGTTATTTGTGTGGCGTTTAGTCCCATCCAGGGGCTGTGGATGTGATGTTCGGGGCACCCCTGAGCTGACCTCCATGCATCGCACCCCGTCGAAGGTGACTGCCTTATATATCCTTATATGGCTAGCATGGCTAGCACCGAGCCCTTTCCCCTGAACTTCCCCAAAGAGGCGTCCAGATCCAGCGGACGTCTGCTTCCGCTTCACACCGACACACCGACAGGACGCCATGAACATGTTGGAGACCTGTTGAGACGCCCCCCTTGGTCTCCGGCCGGGGCAGTTGAGACGGGAACGGCTCGAGCAGAGCCCCACAGAGAGAGAGAGAGAGAGGACGCCGTGAACATCCTGAACTGCCAAGCCCTGGATGAGAATTGGGAACAGGACCTGCCGCGATTCTCGATTGGCCACCTTGATGTTGCCCCGCGATTCTCGTGGCATTCAGCGATGGAGGTCTCCCAGTGCAAAAGCGACGGCATTGTGTTCATCAAATGTTCAAGACGAGGTTTTGAAGTTCCAGATGTCAGTTTTTTTGAGGGGAGGGGAGTTCTTCCGTTCAGCTTAGGGGATCCCGTCAGGCCAAGCTTGCATCCATACACATGGTCAGTGGTCAGAATCCAGGCAGATAAGGTCGGGCAGCATGTCACATGGAGGGGACCTTTTTGCCCAAAGAAGGCCAATTGGTTCGGTCGTTGGGCTCCATTCCGATGCAGGGCTTCTTCCGCACATTTGACATAGGGCAAATGCTGCTTCTCCAGAGGATGTATACGGACTCCTCCCAGGAGTGCCAGGCACTCCATCACAGCTTAGATCGGGGTCTTCCGCGATCTTTCGCGAGAGCGGTCAGGATGGTGGTGTCTTACGAAAGGTGAAGGACTCGTTTGCGATCACCGGTTTCTAGCAGCGGTGCCCTCACGCTTCGCTGGCTTCAGAGCTGCTTCGCTTGAGCTTCGGCCCAATACGGCTGATTTAGTGCAGAGAGTATACAATATAGCTATAGAGTCTTTGATGAGTTCCTCCATTGAACAAGGCTCTAGCTGCTCTGGTATCAATTTCTTGGACATGTATTGGGCTGGATGTCAAGATATATGTCAAGATCCCCAGGTGAAACAGACATCTTTTTACTCCTGTAGCTCGGATCTCCATCATTTCGTCATAGTTCATCGTTTGTGACGTCCCACTGCTTCTTGACATCCACGGATTTTCCAGTCTGCCAGTCTTCTGACCTGCGAGTCATGCATTGTGGTACACAGATGCTCCCCGCTTCCGAGAAGGAAAGCAAGTTCTTCTTTCATTCCTTTCTCATCCTTTCTCATTCCATCACGGCATCCAAGCATCTACAGTCGAATCATGATCACATCCACTTACAGGGGGTGAAATATGATGAAATATGAATCGGATCCATAGGATCGGATCTTGGACATGCGCAGGGCGAAGGCTTGGTACCAGACATTTTCTGGCGCGTCTTTGCGCCCAGCAGGTGAGCGAGCGTGCGTCGGTGAGCCGGAAGAAGTCCCCAAGAAAATCCTTGTTGCATGTGCATGAAAGGAAGGAAAGAAAGCAAGCAAGGCAGGAAGGAAGGGAGGAGAAACACAAAAGAAAGATTCAGCTTACTTTTGGACTTTATAGCCTTCAGAGGTCTGTGCCACAGGCTAGCAAAAAGATCAGCTAAGGCTAAAAGGAAAAACGACGGATCGGCCCTCTACTTGCCAGCTTAAGAACTGGGCATCGATTCCGATGACTGCCCAAAACCCTAGCCTTCAACATCCTGGCTTGGTAGCGCAACATCCTTATGCTCCATATGTTTTGAGCTGGGATTCAGCCATTCACCTTAAGAATCCTTAGGGCCCGACACCTTTCGCAGGGGTCCCGGGCCCCGGTTCCCACACCCTATGTGTTGGTGGATTCTGAGGGTATAAGATCCATTTCAACGGCCAATCCGGGGCCCGGGGTATTTACACACCAAACTTGGAAGATGCATCCGGAGTAACTCCCTGGAGGAATGTGTTCTAGAATCCCTCCATTTGGTTGAAAGGGTCGAACTCCGGGATATGTACCAGGGCCCTCCGACAGGTCACCAATTGAGACCTGTTAGGGTCCAACAACCCTCAACTAACAGCCATATAGGTCGGTTCTGGTATGTGTGTGTTGTGTTTGAACGGTCCACACCCGGTCCGCCCATCGCCTTCACATTCAACTGAACGTCGCTCGAAGTCCGTTCTTCCTCGGGTGGTCGACTTGTGTCGACTTGTGGTGGAACCGAGCGCGCAAAGCCTCGACCGCCCCGTTCGTGGCAGTGGGGTTCGTGGCTGCATGCAAAATCATGAAACATCATGCCTGACCACAGGGGTTCGCAGTTGTGGCAGTAGTTTTGAAGAGTTTTGATATGTTTTGATGGTTGGTCGCAGTTTTTGGGGCGAATTGCTGGCTCCAAATTTTGAAGTCAGAGCAGTCATAGCCATTTGTACTTCCACGTAGATGTGCTAGGAGGGGGTCTCATCAATTCGATCCCAAAATTCCCTCCGCAGAATTCTACACCTCCCGAACACACGGATGCTCAAAGACCCGGACCTCGATGACACCAGCACGAGAGCGGGACTGCCGACCCTGCTCGCTCCACATCGCGGTTTCATGGGCCCCAGCGGTGGGCGAAAAAGGAGAGTGGGACTCAGAGAAGGGTGCTGAAGCGTTTGCCTTTGGCTGTAGGTGTCGTGCCCGATTCCAACCACTGTTAATCTATGGTTCTTAAAGAACGACCATTGATTTGCTATAAGGATTTTACACACAACCAGGTCGCTCCCATGTTCGAGAGGATCCGGACCCTCATAAACTAAGGGTTTTGTGGGGCCCCCAAACCCCTGTTATAGAGGCTTCGACCCCCTTAGGGTGGCTCAACGTCTAGGCAGACGTGACTCGACCTTCCGACGCTCCGACCTGTTCGGGAACCGGTACAAATAGACCTGGGTCAGACGCCTGTGTGCGAGAAAGGGGGTCCGACGTACTCCAACACACACCCACATGGCACAGAAAGCCTCGCTATTCCAACGCTGCTGCCGCCTTACGTCTGACTGCTCAGTAGTGCTGACCGCGCTGTCCTGGGAACCACCTCCGTCGATGGCCTAAGCTGCCGGGGTCCCCAGCTTGGAACTGAGACAACCCTCCCCCTGCCACGAAGGTAGACTTGTGATCAATGAAAGCCCCCATAATATGAAGAGGCTTTGCAATCCAAATTGAGGGGATTGATTAGTCAAGAGTCTACGTCAAGATTCAGGAATGAGAATCATCCGCTGAAAGTATTGGACACAGTGATTTTTTTTGGCGATGCTCGACAGGGTGAATCGCATGAAGTGGCTTTCTTTTGAGCTTTCAGCAAAGAAGAAGTAGCAGGGATGCATCTTCTCGACGAATCCCAGTCGAGTACTGCCAGCTCATAAACCAGGTGCACAATTCTGGATTGGGCTTCATGACTCCATACAGGAGCTTTTGATGCTTCTGATTGCTTTGCTATTGCCACCGTTTTGCCTTAAGCCGCGGTCCAAAACTCCCGATGGCATTCACCACCAATGCAATGTATTGTATGAGTTCCAGCCCGGAGATGTTATTGCTCCTCCCACCAATTGGTCCAGGAACATGTATAAGGCTTTCTTCAAGAGTTTCTACCGAGATCTACCAATTGGTGCTTCTTCAGCTTCGTCGCATTTCTTTTTCCATATGAACAGAAGAATTCGTTAATTGCATTCTAAGTCTTAGTGAAAACCGGAAGATGTGCCTGGCCTTGCCAGGCTCCGGATTTGGTCCGCATGCGGCGGAGCGTGAAACAGGGCGCCGCCGCACTGGCGGCCATTGCGCTCCTGCCAGAGGCGCGTCGTTGCGTTCGCAGAAAGGAAGAGATGGCGTACAGCCTCCGTTCGCTGTTTGGCCTCGGATCATTTTGCTTGATTGATGCCGAAGTCCCCGACTCGGGGCTGTGCCAGTGCTCGGTTCTTGTTCATCGTGATCAGGACGCCGGCGGATTATATACCAGCACCCGACAGTTTCACAGGTCACCACCTGCGACTTTTAAGTGCAAAAGTCAGTATCGAACTCGGGAGACCTGGTATCATTTACAGCTGTGTTTCGTGTCTATAAGTCCATAGTAATTACTAATGTGTACTAGCTGGTGTCGGGAGCAGAAGCGGTGGTTGAGGATGGGGGACTTCCCAAATTTTGCCTTTTGACAAGGGAGTTCAGGAGGTATAGTGAGTTCGTTAATCACTTGCTACTCCTGTGTAGGGTCCATGGGGCAGCCCTTGGTCGGAGATGGAAGATTGAAAGGCATGACCCACTATGATACTACCCCTTTGGTATGTGGATTGTCTATATAATTGTCCCACAGTTTGTCCCACATTTTATGCCGCGTTGGAACATGTGGGATGGACATTTTAACAATCGTCTCATGCTGCAGCTTTGTCACGCCCAGACATTCCGCGACTGGAATATGTCGACCGCAGACACTCCGCCCACTGATCGGCAAATCGCCAGTCGCATGGGTTGTGTCTGGGACATGTAGCTTCATCGGATTGCACATCAAGCAGGGACATGCGCAGAGGATTTTTGAGCCTAAGAACATGCGTCGCATGTACCTCGATGCCGGTCCTTGCGTCCTGTTTCGGCCTGGAAGTCTCCCACCAACCAGATTTAACAGAGATTCAGTGACCGTAAATAGAACCCGTCACCTGGGGTACTATATGGCATCCGGATGGCGGATGTAGTCTATAGGGTTCTTCAACCTCTGTTGGTACGTACCCATCAGTCTTTGAGGAGCCCTGTCCAAGCGACCCATGCCATAGATGGCCTCACTGGACGTATACGGCAGCATCCTCGGAGTCCGTCGGGGTCCTTGCGTGCATGATGAGGAGATACCCGCGGTCGTGCGTCGTGCATCACCAGGTCGTGCATCACCTAGCCTTGACTCCTCTATGATCCTCTATGATTCCCCCAAAAGCAGTCCACAGCGTGCACCGAACCGCCAGGCAGCTCATGCTGCTGTGAGCAAGGAAGCCATCGCCAGTCTCCAGTGCGCCGCAGAATTGTTCCGGCGCCGGAAACGGCCATCGTGTGCAGGTTAGGTGGAAGAACTGCAGAATATCATGACCTTCCCCAAAAATCTGGGCCGTCAAACACACCAGTTTTGAGGGTCCGGACCCCTGCTATCAAAAACCCGACCCCAGCCATGGAGGGCCCGGGACTCTTAGGGTTGACTATCTAGATAGTACAAGCTGGGTGAGACTCTCTTGAATTTTTAGCTGGAATACCTTCTTCTCCCCGAGAATTCCTTCACCTCTCTCCATTGCAGGGGTTTGTCACCCTAAACACCGGTCCGGGCCACCGGTCCGGGCCCGGTTACCGGTCCGGGCCCCTGAGTCTGTTGGCGAACCAGTCGTTTGGGACCACGTCGGAGACCCACCGATCCTCCACGTCTTCGGTCGATACGTACCGAACGCGGCACGGACTTCGATGCTCAGCTCTTTGATGAGATCCATGAATCGAACGACGCTCAAAAGGACCTGATACCAGGGGCCCCACATGGCCCATCCAAAAAAACCTGGTTTTCCCTTAGAAAACCTTTGTTTTTTCATGGTTTGGTTCGGGCCCCTGAGAGACAGTGAAGACCTCCCTTGGTCGGCTTCGGACCCCGCGGAACGGTGGTCACGTCGAAGGGTCTGAAGAGATCGATGCGTCATCCCTGGTGTTTCCGTCATCCGTTGGGAGTAACCCTACGGACGTCCAGTCTGACCCAGGTCCAAACCTGGTCTGTCGACATGTCTAGACTACCTCCTGGATAGTATTGGTTTTGTATGACCATCTCCATGTATTTCATGAGGTCAGTTCCTGACTTGTAGGGTAACATAGGCTTTTTGGGTGGTGCCAACACGCCGGGCGACCGGCCCGCGGCTGTTGGCCCACAGGTCCCGCGGGTCCCGAACGTCTCGTTGCCACGCCGACCGCAGGTGCCAGATTTGCGAACACGCAGTGGAGGAGGTGACGCCGGCGTCCGACCAGTGGGGAAGTCCGACCAGGTTGCGTAGACGCGTATAAACAACTCTTAATAGTCTGTGAAGCATAGTAGCCGATGGCGGTTTCAATGTCAAGGTCTTACAAAATTATGATCCCTCCATATCCATCCACTATTAGTGGTTTGTAGAAATGAGACGAGCGCACCTTGTTGCCAGCTGGCGTAGGCGAAGGCTTGCGAATGCACCCACAAGAAAGCGACATCGGTTGTATGGGATAGGTGCGGGTTTCAGGTGTCTTCAACCTTTACTTGGGATGATTGACCCCCCACTAGAACGACGGTTTCTCGTTGTTCTACGATGTTCTACGACGAATCAGCCGTTTGGGTGAAACGATTGTTTCGTTGCCCCTGGCTGAGTGGCTACAGCTGAGTGGGCGCTGATGACTCCTCAGCAGGATTCTTGGGGTGTGGTTAGAACATAGTTCACTTGTAGAACTCATTTTGATGTGTTGCTTGCTTGGCTGATTCACAGATTGGTTGGATTGCAGTCTTTTGTTCGTTCGGTGTTGCCTGTGAAACAGTGGACAGTTGACTGGTGGATGCACAGAGGAAAGAAGGACTGTCACAAGACCTCTAGATGTCGCAAGCGCTTGGTGGAAGAGAAATGAAGAACACACATCAAACTCCTCATGATGTATGAGTTGCCATGTTGACCCTGGAATTCCAGCAACCATTGTTTGAATGGTCTTTATAATAGAGTCTTTACCAAACAACTACTCTACAGTCAACCAGGAATTGACCCGTTCTTTGTTCAACGGTCGAACAGGCTTTCCGCCCCGTTCTTCGCGTTGGATCACCAGATCCGCCGGGCCAGGCGATCATCTACTCCCGAGAGAATCAGATCTCCGGAGAGGCGACCGGCCACGTCGCTGCGACCGACGGATAGAGCGGGGTTTCGATGTATGTGGCGACGGCGACCCGGTGTGGGGGCCTCAACTCATCCAACTTGCGACCGGTGTGAGCCTGGCGCCGGGTTCATGAAATAGACAGCCAGGCGCCCCAAAAAACAAGATGAAACATGGTGCGTCAATAAAAGGTTATGGAATCCCAGCAATGACTCCCAAAAAGAAAACACCACGTGGCACGTCCATCACTGAGCAATCGGCCGGGGTGAAAATGAGTCAAACTTCATGGTGAGCAATGTTAAGCACTACATGGGACTCGAAGGAGGTTGAGGAGCCCTGATGTCGAATGTGGGGGCATGACCCATTCGCTACACGGGGTACCAGTGTGAAAATTCTTTCATTCGCTACAGGTCCAAGGACCCAATGAAACCTGGTCCTAACTCCAAACTAACTTACCAGGACACCCTAAGCCTAAGGGGTGTCTATTGATAGCCCCTTAGAGGTGATTCGGGGTGTCCATTCACTCCTGGTGGGTCCAGGTATTGATATTTATTGAGTATTTCATCCTGGGAAACCAAACAACCAGAAACAAATGGATGTTTCCCCAAACAGCCATTTCCTATGTAAAGGATTTCAATTGCCATATTGGAACAACCGTTTGTTTCTGGTTGTTTGGGTTTCCAGGATTGTATGATCAACTCCACCCGTGTAGAATCCGCACGGGCCCGGCCTCTTTCTCTCCCTCGAAACGCAGGGGGAGAGACCGGACCTCCCTCGAAACGCAGGGGGAGACCTGGGGCCCGGTGACCAAACCCTATATGTCTTGCGAACCGGGCGACGTAACATGCGATCCAACGGACGAGATCCTCGGAACCCCAAACGAAAGAGTTCTGCATGGAACGAGCGAAACCCAGTCCCAGTTCCGAGGATCTCGCCCCTGCCATGATTGGAACAACTAAGATGTTTTGGGTTGGGACTTAGTTCCCGACGGCGCGATCCAACTGACCCCGAAAGAAGAGGGATCCGCTCGAACCTGACCTTTGCAGGATGAATTGGCCGATACGATCGACGGCCTTTGCTCAGTGAAGAAGAAAGAGGGGCGCGGCGGGACGGACGCGACCGGAATGGGGTTTCTCCCCGTCGGACTCGGTGAAAACGTCGGACGCGACCGGACGGTCAAACGGGGTTCGTGCCTCTTCGCCTGTTCTTCGATGCTCTGCGGAGAGACCGAACTGAAGCAATCGACTTCCAGGTCCTTTAGGATGAAGAAGGTGAAGGAGGATGAAGAAGGTCATTTGGGACAGTAACTTTACTTCACCTGGTCGAATCAGCTGCCACTGAACTTGGTCGATCGACTTTGGCCAGAATTAATCAGAATGATATCATCCATCTTTCATCATCTTTCAGTATCCCTAGGCTGGTCCGGTTCGACTAGGTCTAGCACCGAGTTCGTGTTCAGGAACCCTTTTGGGATGAAATCGTCTAGCTGCGGCAGAGCATTTGTTTGGAAATCGTCTTGGACTCTCAGGGGTCTTCGTTGGCTGAACCAGGGCCTTTCGCATCGTCTCCGTGTGCGCTTGGCGCATCTCATCCAGAAACGGAGAACCGAGACCCGGCGCGGCGTTCATCGAGACCGGCGGAACGAAGAACCGCCCATTTGACGCTCCGTGAGTTCACAGCCTGACTGGATGTATGATCGGGATTGGTGAGAGGTCTCCCAAACCCCCTCCATAGGTTCGGGCTCGATCTTTCCAAGACCATCAAACAAATGGTTGACCTGGTTGACCTGGTTTTGCAGTCTAACATCTGTAGAAAACAACATGTTTGTTGGGGATTCAGCCATATTCAACCCATTGAAATCTATTGAATTCATGGAGCACCAGCAAGCTTGAGGGTCGTTCGACTTCGCATGGCAATCGGCGCCCTTTCTTTTGTTTCGCCAGGCGTTGGGTAGCACATTTGGATGTGGTACAGGAGGCCCGGTCAGCAGAAGGCGCTGTAGCAAGCATTGAAACGACTCGAAAGGTCCGGTGAACATGGCTGAACAAGACTGAGACGAGTAGCGACGACTAAGGCGACCTGTTGGAGGGTGCGACCTGCTTCTCTTTTTTGTCCACATCAGCATACAACAATGTAAGATTATATAAGTGGTACATATTGTCTTATATATCCACAACTATCCACATCACAAGTTCCAATGTCATCATTCATGTTGCATGCATACCCTTAAACTTCCGGAAAGTCCCTTCGTGTACCTTCTGTTCGTGTATCCGCTCCGCAGGATCCCGGAGGCCCCCTGTCGGTGGAGAAGCAGGACCTTTGACCCGCGGTGAGGGGTGGGCCATCTTGTCGGACATGCCTGGGAGATGTGGATACAGCTACGACCTTCGTAGCTTTCGAACGCTACGTTGGATGCCGTGATGCCCTTGTTACTAGTAGTAATGCCAGGAGCTACTACTGTAGTAGCTGCTACTGTCACGCCGGCAAAACGTTTGAGAGTGCAGAAGACGGATCAAAAGGAGAAGGTCCGACTACCTACCGTCCAAGTCCTCGAGTAGTTGGGCCCGGCGGATATTCTACACGGGTGGAGTTGATCATACAAGAACACTACCACGGTACGACTGGGCTCCAGTCGTACCTTCTAAGAAGGCGCGACTGGGGGCCCGGGAAGTACTTGGATCCTTCTATACCTTGTGAGGAAGTACTTGGAGTCCTAGGGATAGGCTGGATTAAGAGCTCACCCTACAAACCTTGGAAGGTTGAATCTGTTCATTTGACCCGGGGTCAACCAGGCCAATGGTGATAAAGGCATTTTGGACCCACAGCCACAGCCGGGTGTACTGTAGGATGTATTCATCATTGATTCACTTCTTGTTACAGTAGATGTATTGCCTGGCTGACCATAGTCTTTGGTTATTCTTCTCTATGACAAACAAAACTGATCTGTCACATGCTGCTTGGTCTTAAGAGCATTCGTTGGCTTACTCATCATTTGAGTTCAACCGTCGAATCATGGGTAGATGCCCGGTCCAAAGGTGATCAGAGTGCAGCACTTCCGCAGCACTTCCCGGGCTTCCACCGGGCCATTGGGTGTGCACCGGGCAGGACCAATTGGGCTATTGCAAAGGAGAGTGTACACTCGTGCAAAGGCCATTGGTGATCGGTAGGCGTCGTTCAGAAACGTAGCCGGCATAGAAGTATAGGTGCAACTACCAGGTAGGGGTGCTCTAAGGAGAGCAGTCTAAGCAAAGCAACACTCGAGCTGCAGCTCACCATTTTTTTAAAAATTGTTTGAAAGGGTACTGCATGTACACCAAGTGCCATGATGTACCTTCGAGGGTACTGTAATGTTCATGTTGAAAGAATTGTATGATATAGTAATAATATATATATATATATATATATTTGCCTGTGCAGCAAAACAGCTGTTTCATCCGACATATCGCTTGGACGTGCTTGCTGCGGTCAGGGCCTGTCAAAGCTCCTTGCGAGGCGGGGCGGTCCTTTCAGCACATGCTGAGGGCGCACAGAGACATGGCCCTCAGCACCGGCACAGAGACATGTGCCATATTTCCCCGTTGGGCGACCCTGGACCCGAAGCGAAAAAGGTGGCTACTACCGGGCCCCCCGGTCTTCGGACACCGGTGAGACCTTCCTTATGTCTCACCTCTAAGGAGCCGAAAAAGGACCCCTCCGGGCCCATGGTGGGCCTGGTACGACCAGACCCGAGACGAGACGAGACGAGTCAAGCGGAACGGAGTGAGGACTGCTGGACGGGGAGTCAGAGATGGCGAGGGAAGAGGAGGGAAGAGGGAAGAGCGAGGAGGGCTTCAAAGAGGAAGAGGTTGTTCGATCCTGATTCCTTCACCCATATTTCTGTTTTTGATCCCTTACCCTGACTTCCAGTTGGTCAAGGATCATGGAATCATAGTGTAACATAGTTTGACCAGATTCTTTCCTATATACACAGCCCATCCCTGATCTGATCTATGCATTTTGAACCAATGCTGACCATGGTGCGGGCCCTTGAACATCTACCCTGAAAGCTGCAACACCCCAAGATGAAAGAGCTCCATTCGGAAGATGGAGCGTCCTGCGGAGACCGAAGACAGGCAAGGAAGACACCTTGGTCTCCTTACTGCTGCTCCTCGATTTGCATGTTCGGCGCGGTGGAATGTCACACAGCTACGTCACACATGCCTTGTTCCCGCAGCAATGTTAAGAGCGTTTCCATCGACCAAGACTCATTGATTTAATCGGCTGAATACCGAACTACTCGTGTTTCACGAAGGATTTGACGCTACAAAACCCAGGTCGTTTCCAGGTCATTTCATGGTCTTCACCGGCGAAACACCGCAGTACCGACCCTTAGGGCCTTGGGGGCATAAAGTCTTGGACTGAGTTTGTAGGGACAGTAAGATCCATCCGGGTTTCACGTTCGAACGAAACGAAAGAGTGAAATGAACCGACCTGGAGCCGTGACTCTCAAAGCCAGGCATCTTCTGAAGCAAAAACCAAGTGATTTCCAGGGGTCTTCGGGTTCGGACGTAGAGTAGAGTAGTAGGGTTCTTGCCTTGTTATTGAGATTCTCATGCTGGTTGGAGCCAGGGGGAGAGGTTCGAGACCCGTCAGACGAGAGGTATGAGTTGAAGAGAATCTGCCCAGCTCCGGATTGGAACATCTCCCTATAAAGTCGTTTCTTTTTCTTCATGGGCCCCATGCGTCATCACGTACTTACTTACCCAGGAACATGTAGATATCACCTTTCACCTTTTTAGTGGGGTCCCTTGGGTGTCACCCCACTAAACCGGCTAGAGGTGGATGAGGTGGACACGTTCGGTTGACTAACATCCCCTACGGCTCCAGTCGTGGGTGCCAGGAGGGTCCAGTCATACCTTCTGGGGAGGTACGACTGGAGCCCAAACGGGATCATTTTCCAGGGAAAGAGAATGCAGTCAGATTAGAATCATCCGAATTGGGTGGGGCTCACAGTTACCAGGGTTCGTTCGATGGTTCGTTTGGTCTGCCACCCAAACGATCCATGCAGAAACAAATATGGTTTATACAGATGTTGAATGTAGGTCACCATCTAAAGACTGTGAACATGTACCCTAAGGCCCTAAGGCCCTAAGGATTCGGATCCTTAAACACAAGGGTTTGCTTCTCGGGGCCCCCAGTGAACCCTGTGAAAAAGAGGGTCCGACCCCTAAGCTAAGAGGTCATAGATCCTTGGGCCACCATGGGCCACCATGGGCCCCCACGAGTGTTCGGTCGAATTCGATCCGATCCTCGGCAGGGCTCCACGGGTGTCTCCACGGGTGTCTCCACAGCATGACGAGAAGTCCTTGAAAGACGACCCGCTTGGGATCCGTTGTCGTAGCGAACCGACCCCGTTCGGTACGACTGGACCCTCCTGGCACCACCACCTACAACACGGTGGTCTGCTCCAAACATCCCTGAGAAGCTACGAGTTTTCGGATCCCCAGCCGGGCTACATGTTGACCCCAGGACTGTCAGACGGCCATGACACATCGGGTGACACATCGGTACCGACCGGGCGTAGTCCGGGCGTTGACCACCGTGACGTATCCTGGCGACGTATGGAGATATGGAGACACTTGAGCTTCTCAGGAAGGGAACTGGCCCCAAGAAGATCAAAGAGAAGGCAGGAGATGGCAGAGGTTGCAAGGCTGTCAGCGTGTTGCAACAGTTGAACATGATACGGACGGGATAATTAGTATGTCATTTATCATCAGACTGGTCAGGCACACACCTTTTACTTACATCCTCTTACCATTTTTTCGTGCCATGGGCGGCTGGCAGGTGTGCAAAAAGATTTGTGATAAAAAGAGACCAAAGATCTCTGACTGGTGTGGGACCTGAGCATGCAGCAGTTGCAGTATATTGCAGTTGCAATAACCCAATTGGAATTGATAATTTACATGATATTGTCCTATATTGCCGCTTTGCCGCTTTTTGTTTTTTTTTTTTTAAACAGAAGCACCTCGTTGGGCTTTACACGTGGCTCACATGTCACTTCGGCCTCTTCAGGCTTCTTCCGCGTCGGCGCTCCGAGGAAGGACGAAGCCTTCGAAGCCCGCGATCAGAAGGAGGTGCCGCGGCCTCTTCAGCCCGGTGGGGCGGTAAGGGGTCGGTGAGATGGGAAGAATGTGTTGGAGAAGCTGGTGGATAGCCTTCTTGAAGCCTCCAAGAAGTGGATAGCCTAGCTTCTTGAAGCCTTCTTTTCCTGGTGGGAAGATGTTGGCAATTGAGAGGGGAATGGAATGATTTTGGAGGGTAAAGCAATAGCTGAAATAGGATCCTGTGGATTCTAACAACGGGTACCATTGCTTTTAAGGAGGTTGGGGTGTGCAAAGCAAGCGGTCTTTTCCACCTGCTCAGCTTGAGCCAAACCGTTTGGTTGGCGAAGTTCATCAACACAGCTCGAATCGAAATGCTCGATCGAAAGCGAAAATGCTCATGAGGTGCATGGACTGTCTGCCACACTCCCCCTGCAGTGCGTCACTGCATTCCATCGGCCAAAAGACCTTTTCGGTCAGCCTTTCAGTTCTGAAGAAGCTCATAGCTTCCATCAGAATCCCACTCCTCATTCACGGGCATGGGACCCTGGCTAGCGCGAGCCACGGGCATGGTGCCCTCACTTCCAGCCGCGGGCCTGGAGCCCTCACTTGGTCGTCCAGCGCCGGCAGGGCGCAAGCTCTGAGCCACAGGCATTTGAATGCCCAACCATTGGGGCGTCGCTTCATCCGGCAAATTGGGATGCCGGGCAAGCAGCAAACCTTCGGAGTGGAGCGAGAGGATCCAATCCGACCGCTCTTCCTCAAGAGGAACCTGCATGTTGGGTGGCGCAGGCCTCTCTCCTCGATTCTCCTGTCCCCTCATCCGGCCGAGGTAGCCGAGGGTGAGAGGTGCTTCCATAGCATCCATGCCGCGAGTCGATGCCGTCATCGTCGAGGACAAGGTGCTCGTTGGTGTCCCTGTAGAGCTCTCTGTTGAGCCTCTTCGAACCCTCCTGATGCCTCTCAGTAGCTCCTCTTCTGGTTGAACCGGTGGAGGTCCTGATGATGCACTTACCTGCGAGGTCGAAAGCGACTGTCCAGGTGGCGTCGGTGTCGAAGAGCTTCCCGTCGTCTGGCCAGCAGGGGTTGAAGAGCTCGTTTGTGAATCCAAAGTGGCATGTTCAGGCAGCGGAGGTTGAGGCGGGTTGTCACGGAAAAAACTGTAGCCCACCCACTGCTCCTCTATCGGAACCATAGGCCTAGTGCCACTGCGCCAGTCATCCTCCACCACCGACTTCTCGCCATGCAGCCATACCACAGTAACCCGTCCACTGCGGATTTGAGCCGCGTCGAATGGCGTCTGCCGATGTACAGGATGGAATGGCCTTTTTCTTGGTTTGACATGATGTCGAACCCACCAGCCATCGCGCAGCCGCCCCCATCGATCTCGTCCTTGTGGAGGAAGTCGGAATTGCGGCCACTCATGAGGTCCAGCCACCGTCCATGTGCCGGACTCAGTGCTGGGCTCAGCGTGCATGGCAGCAAGGCGCACACCATGTCCATGGCAGCGAGGTTCGAACGCGGCCGCACGGGAGCCTCTTAGGCTAATGTCGCCCGCCCGTCCCCCCAGCCCAGCGGTGGGTTCATCTTCCCTCACCGATCTTGTTTTTTCTTCCCCTCCTAGTGCGGTGGGTTCATCTTCCCTCACCGATCTTGTTTCGACCGAATCCCGTCCCCGTGGCGCCTCAGCCTGGGATTCTGCCGGAAGGTGTCCAATGATCTTCTTGAGGTCCTGTGCTTTCGAGGCCAGGTATGCTACAAGTGCTGTGATGGTCAAACAGCGTGCAATCTTGTGTGCTTCATGGATTGGATTCCAAACAGCCATTCCTAATATTCCAGCTACAACCGCCTGGAGCCTAGAACAAACTGACTGGTGTTCTTCCTTCTGCCCAATCCCTGAAGACACACGTGCACCCAAAAATTGGAAAAACCTTTGCCATGAGGTCGGGTTGACTATCGGCTTCGTCAACAGATCCGATGGCAATTCGGTGCCAGGGACGTGCAAGGTGCGCCAACACTGTTGCTGAATGCGCTCCTTGACAACGTATGCCCTTAATCTCAAATGCCTCGTACGCCATGGGCCGTCAGGTGCAACCAAAATCTTCAGCCCAGTTTGCGAATCGCCACATAGGACCTGTTCGCCTTCGAAGTGCAGCTTATGGTCCTCTAGAATGTTCACAATTGCAGCGACCGACTCACCCATCACCACTCCATCAACGTAGCCCATGAGTTCCGATTCAGCGCTTGAGAGAGTGGCGAATGGCTGTTGTCGACTTTCCCACTGCACCGGAGATCCGTTGTACGTGACCAGCAACCCTTGTTGACCTCTGCCTCCTTGTGGACCGTGGGACGCATCCGAAAACACTCGAACACTTGGGAGCTTGGTTGCCTCAGACTCAATGGATTGGGCCTCAAACACCTGTTTGGTGTAGCACAGCTCATAGTCCACCGTGGAGTGCAAATATCCAAGCATGTGAGCTCCCCATTCCAAAACTTGTCCCGGAGCCTTCGTCACCAAGCGGCCCATGATGGAGACTCCATAGCTGAGGTCAGGCCTGGTTCGCCCGCTGAGCCAAAGCAATTCACCAACGAGAGCCTGGGCTTTGCGGACCTGTTCAATGGAGATGTTTTCCTCCAGTTCATCTTGTACGCCAAGGGGCAAAGGAGTTTGTCTCGACTTGATGCCTTCGTGACGTGCAAGGAGATCTCGAGTGTAGGAGGTCTGGTTCAGGATGACCTCACCTGGGCGGCACTTGATCTCGAAGCCGCAAAACTTGAGGGACTTTTCTGACGATGCCCACTCCGGTTCTGAACAGCGCCAACGAGCCCTGATTCCATCAATCACTGCCTGAGCCAGTGGACTTGGGGCGGCAACCAGCATATCATCAACGTACACTGCCAAGAAGCCTTCTGAAGTGTCCTCCTCTGGGATGCTGTTGGGCTGAGTCTTGACAAGCTTCCAGAGGTTAGGCTCCGGCGTGGTGACCAGTTGGTACTCGTGACCTTCAGCCTTGAAGCGTAGCTGAGGGAGTTCTCTGTCGCGATAGTGCGACCAATTTGCTGGGGCATCGTTCAACCCGTAGACAGCGTGGGATATCTCCCAAAGTTCGGTGGGAGGACATATTCCAGCTTCGACCAGCACCCTCGGAGGGCGAGCAACGAGCAAACGTTCACGTTCGTCCGGCCGTGGTGCTAACAAGAACGCTGTCTTGATGTCCACCGTGCCAATTGACCAGGATCTTTGAGCTGCGCACCTCATCAAGCAACGCAGTGTTGTCCCATCTGCTCCTCCTGCATATAGTGAATACGGAGCCTGGTCTTTGGCCTTCATTTCACTTGCCGAGTTGTCCTGGTCCTCGTTGACCTTGGTGAGGTGGTTGCCACAGATTACCACCCGTGCTCTGAGACGTCCATGAGGACTCTTGACCGTGGGAACCAGCATAGCTGGAGCGAGTTCCATAGTTGGAAACCTTGGATCCAGGCGCAACTTCTCTTCAGTAGTTGGCTTGATTGCCTGGGTCGAGGAAACCAGTTGACCATATTCATCACGCAAAGGAGGCTTCCACTTTTCCAACTCCTTGCGGACCTGCTGTAGTGAGACCGTGTAGGTCTGGAGCACCGTAACTGGGACTTCAGTTGAACCAGCCATTGGAGCCAGTGAAGCCATCTTGTAGTTCTGCAAGGAGGAATGCTGAAACGACAATTGATCTTCAGCACCTCGGAGCAGCAATTCAACTTCATGAAGCCAGCTGCCATGAACACTTCCAGCGTCTTCACCAACAGCAACTTCTCGAAGACCTTGGCACCAGAGCTGCTTCAAAGCCCAGTGACGTTGTTGTTCAAGTTCATGCCACTGCTCTGCCTGTTGTCGTGAGCAGCACATAGGATCTTCCAGCTCCCCCGGAAGGTCAGGGTGTTGACAGTGATCACCTTGATCATGACTATCGGGCGTGGGACCTCCAACAACCTCCTCCGAATCCCCTTCGTCCTCAAATTGAAGTGCCAAGGAGCAGCCAACCTCGTCCAAAAAGGGCAAAGGATCCTCCCCCCCAGCTCGGCAGGCAGCAAGAGCTGGGTCAGACTTATCATACAAGGCACCCACGGCTCCAGCAAGAGGATGGTCAGGTAGAGGTGGTGGATGTTTCCCCACAATGCGGTGCTTGATTGATGGCACCTCCTGCAAATCCATGGTCGCCTGGTCAGCCACCGGCGAAGGTTCCAAAGCCGTCCTCACGTGCAGCAGCTGCCCCTTCTTGTCGCGGGCAATCCAACCATGAGACATGTATGGGCATGGTCCCAAGAGCTGCATAGTGCGGTAGGGCATGGAGAGTTGTCCAGCACGATGCCATCGTTTGGACTTGACCAAAACTGAAGCTCCATAGCGAAGCATTGGTGGGCTCGGCAGGCCCAATCTTTCAAGTTGTAGGCGCACACGGCCTTCTGCAGCATGGCGTAGGGCTGTTGGCCAGAGGGATTGAGGAAGTCCAGAATCATGTAAAAGAAGTCGAGTTCGGCGCTTGATCTGGTTCACTTCTCCCTCAATGCGGCCGTTAGCCTTCGAGTCATCGCCTGCAGTCAGAGTCAATCGAAGTTGACGTTGTTCACACCATTTTTGAATTGGGACTGAGGCAAAAGATCGTTCTCGATCTGTGTGGAGGCGGTACACCTGGATGCCCAGCATGCGGTACTTGGCATGTAGTCGAGAAAGGGCACGGACCAAAGACTCCACAGTTCTGTCTGGAATCACCTCAGCAAACGTGATATTTTGGTGTCCAGGAGCTTCTTGGGCCTCTTCAATTTGGGCCAACTCATTGAGCCGCTGAACTTCATCATCAGAGAGCATCTCTCGCTCTTCAGGATCACAGGGCAGGTCCTCAGTGTGCTTGACGTCGTCTGCAGTGTCATAGGGCTCGGCAACCTCGCCTGGAAGCTCTGAGACGATGGGCACGGCCACAGTGGAGATCAGTGCATACTTACAGGTCACTCCAGTGCCGAGGTCACGACCAGCAGGGAAGGGTCCACATAGATCCGCTGACATAGTGAACTTCGTTGCACTCCCCCCAAGTCTTTTGTGAGGTTTATCACAGCCCATTGCTTCACCACAGATTCGGCAGTCAGCACGAAAGGGAATGTGCCCCTGTTTGATGTGTCGGTGCCAGGCTGCAAGGTCCATTTTGGACATGTGGTGGGTGTCACCACTTCGACTTTCCTCCTCCAAAACGCCAAGCAACCTCCGCAGCGATTCCTTGATAGCAGCCACAAGTCCTGGCGCCCAAGCGGCCCAAGACCTTGAAGTGCGAATGCGATCTGCCAGCTTGGTGGGAAGTGGACTATCATCACAACCCTCACCCTGGAGACCATGTAGTTCTTCGAAGGCCGGGAGGTTGGTGAGGACCGTTGTAGGCTTCTTTCGCTGATGACCCAACCGTCCTTGGTCGAAGGTGACCAGACGAAGTCCTGCAGTTCCAACCCAGGCCGTGATTTCCGGGAAGCACCAAAAAGATGCCCTTTGAGCTCCTTCTTGATCACTCAAGTATTCAGCTGGGTCACGTGGAGATTCCAGCAACATTCCAACATCCGTGGGAACACGACGGCATTCTTGAGCACGTAGCCAAAGACCAATGTGCTTCATGCAAAGTGCAGTGTCGCCGTGGACCAAGCGCTGCTCATCATCGTCCAACTCAGGAAGGCACCAACGATCTTCTCCTCGGCCACGTAGTCGTCGAGGGCCAGGAGCCTTGTTTCGAAGGCGGCTTACAGTTCTGCATGGAGGACCTCCAATGATAGCAACAATGCGGCCAAGTGATGCCAGCTTCCACAAGTAACTCCAAACTGAAGGGTTGTGGAGGTTCAGGGCTGCATTGATCTCAGTGTCGATGCACAGCCATGAGTAGCGGCCTCCACCAATATCATTCCATTTCTTCGCATCAGCTCCACTGAAAAGGTGAACAATGACACCCTTTCCAGTCATGTGGGCCCGTCGCAACCTTCGATTCCAGGGCGGGGCTGTAGATTCTTGACTTTGACCAGCCATGTGCTGGTCCACAGTGACATCTTTTGGCCGCAGGCGCAACCTCTCCAAGGGCGTGGCCACCAGCCACTGTTCATATAGTTCACGAGCGGCAGAAAGGCATCCATCCCACCAAAACTGTGAGGTAGAGGACAAGTCCGCCATCAATGGATAGGCCACCGTCAGCCAATCCCCAAACTGCAATGCCGCGCCTTCGGATGAAGGTAGTGGAAGGGCAGGAAGATCCAAAGCCCTGACGGTCTCTGGAACGACCGGAGCCAGCGGAGTTCGAGCATCCCCATGAGGTTGTCCACCATGAAGGCCTGGGGGAGGATCTGGTCCTGACCCGGGAGGTCCACCTGCACCTGAGGGATCACCATGTGGTAGTCCAGGATGTGTTGCAGTTCCACGACCATCAACTCCACCACTGGCAACGGAGGCATACGACGATGCATCACCACCACCTGCTCCATCAGTTATGCGTTTGACTTCACGAGCGAACTTCTCCTCCGCCTCTTTGAGGATCTGGGTACGAAGTTTCTCAACATCCCCAGGTCCTGGACTTCCGTTGGTAGCCCGAGCACCTGCACTTTCCGCCATTCTCACATGACCTTCACCTCGTGCAGCTTGTTGAATTGAAGTAGTCCAGAAGGGGTTCACAGTGGCAAGGGGGCCCTGTGGCGTGCGAAATGGTTCAAGCACCCTGGGTTTCACCTCCTCCCGCTCTACCTGCCTTGTGCTTGCAGGCGTGCCCATTCTTGGATCACCATGTGGAGCTCCAGGCTGATGTGGAGTTCCAGCCAAAGAACCTTGCCCACCAAAGAATCCGCCTCCTGGTGGATGAGGTAGTCCCGAACCTGGTCCTTGAGGTAGTTCAGAACCTCGAAGAAGGGGATCTAAAAGTCCCGGAGCCGGCGAAGATGGCACATGGTGGCCTAAAGCCTGTTGCAACAACTCGAACGACTGGCGTGCTGCTTCTTGCAATCCGCCCAGACCCAAGGCGTTAGCCCGAGGATCATGCAAGGCGCTCATGAGGCCTCCAGTCCCGGCCAGCTGGCCAGCTGATGCATCGTGATGCCCTCCATGATGTCCAGGTTGAGGTGCCAAACTTCCCTCTCTTCTTCTTCCTTGAGATTCATTTCCCTCAGCCGTAGGGTGCATAGCCAGGCGCCGGACAGCAAGATCATCTTCTGCAGGTAGTGACGAGGCCCGAGCTGCTCGTTGCTCCTTGAGCAACCGGTCCAACTTTTGATCTGCTGTCTCTTCAGGCGGTGGCCTTCTTCGATCTTCTCGATGTGCACGTCGAGGCTCCTGCGCTTCAGCGGCAGCAGCTGGCTCTCGTGAGCCCTGTCGGCGCCGGCGCTGGAGGGTGGCCATCGCGGCCAACAACCACTCTGCTCGCTCAGCAGCAGTGGGTGGACTTCGAAAACACCTAGCACCTTGGGCTCATAACCTAAGGAGGTTGGGGTGTGCAAAGCAAGCGGTCTTTTCCACCTGCTCAGCTTGAGCCAAACCGTTTGGTTGGCGAAGTTCATCAACACAGCTCGAATCGAAATGCTCGATCGGAAGCGAAAATGCTCATGAGGTGCATGGACTGTCTGCCACAGCTTTAATTGTTTTTACCATTCAAACAACCATGGTTTTACGATGTTACACTGCAAAACCAGGTCATCGATTCTAATGGTTCAACGGAAGGCTGGGGTGCTGAAATCTTCATTCCACAAACAGCTTGTTTTGGTACTTGCCAAACCATTTCAATCATCCCATTGCAGGAGGTGAGGATCAATCGACCAGAGCGTTGTGCAACCATGTCGGTCAGGTGGGTCTTATGGGTGGGTGGCTTACTTCGGTTCAGGTGGAGACTGAGGACATGATTGCCAAGATGAAAGCCGAAACTGGCATGGGCATGAAGATGTACAGACGAGAGGCAGGGGCGGGGTGGAGCCCTTGCTGACCGATCAATAGATCGAAACCAGTATCGAAAACCCGGTTTTCAACCGCATGCCCTGCGAGTCCGGGAAAGACATGGAAAGACATTATTGTGGTGAACCGAGTCGAAACCTTTGCTGGTGATCCGAGTTCAACCACATGGGATCCTTCGAGTGCTGACCCATGCTCCATGCTGCCCGGGTCACCTGGAGGATTGAAATCAGCGAAAAAACCCGGAAGACCAGTTTCCTCTACAAACAGGCAGCCTTCCACTTTGATGATTCCAGGAGTGTTTATTTGGCGGTTTTCTCATGTTTTCTCCTTCACAACATCGTCCAGGACGGTGCAGGTCCTCCCCGACTCACAAACCAGCTGGACCTGGATCTATCGTGGTCCATCGAATCAGAGTGGATATCTGTGGTCCACTGGTGGATATCTATGGTTCAGTCATTCCCTGCTGGGCGACCCCCAACCAGGTCCTTCCGATTCTGCGCGGGAGGACCTCATGGCGATGTCAGAGGGTGACATGGAGACCATGGCCGCAAGAGAGGCGAGGCGGTCGGCCGCGAACACCAGAGCAGGGGCCGTGGGCATCAGGGTGTTTTTGGAGGGCGCTTGGGGGTTGAGGCGGTTGGGGGGTATAATGACCTTTCCTGAGAATGGTAGTTCATGAACATTAATTGCCACAAGAAAGATCCCTTACATTCGGTTGCCTTGGGTTGATCCTCGAGTCCACTTCCATGTTTGCGTTGGTCGAGGAGAGGGTATTTTCTTCAGATCCAGTTTGCAAGTTGCCTCAAAAACATTAGCATGTGGTGTCCCTGCGTTGGTTTATAACCCTCCATAATACTCCATACATGGAATCGTCGCAGACATGAAAACCCCATATATGTCCGTAGTGTTTGGGACATCTGATGTGGACCAAAGTGAAAGAGAAGCACCGGAAACGGCATGAGCTGTCGAACGTCACGGCTCATGTTTTGCCAGTTCACCTCACCACTGAGATGTCCAGCCATTTCCTGGATGTCGAAGGAATAGACACAGCTGAGGTTTCTTTAAATGCTTTTCCAAAGGCACGTCTCCCAGCAACCTCCAAAAGGTCACCAACTGAAACTTGTTAAGGTAGGTCTTAGGCCGCTTCTGACCCACCGAGCCTATGCAGGCCTATGCCTCCGAGCGAAACGCTGCGCGCATGTCTGAGATGGATTTATAGCCACCGAACCGCTCGCCCCACCGGGTCGCGACCCGAACGGTGCGAGCGGAGCGTGGGACCGTGCGACCCGTGCGGAGCGTCAGGTTTGGAACGTGGGACCCGACGTGTGTTCCATGGCCACGGAGCCGGGTGTTTGGGCAAACTCAGCTCAGATCGAGATCGTGTTTTTCGAGAGGTTGGGACTGTTGGGAAGCAAATATCGATCCGAGAGCACGGTGGAGCCAGGAGCCACTTCTCCCATGAATTCCGCTCCACGGAACAACCACGACTCAGCAGGGTTGCATGGGCCGGTCGGACGAAGGCCCAAAGACTCGAGCGGTGAAGCCGAAAAGAGCGGTGAATCCGAAGACCAGGGTGGACTCAGGACATACAAAGGAGTTGGGGAGATGAAGGAGATGAATGAGCTCAATTACTGGTAAAGGGAGCCATTTTTGAGACATTTCTGTTTTTGATGGTTAGAATCTCTACATATCTCTACTATGGCCCAGCTGTTTTGGGGTATTTTGGGTGATTTCGTGTCTTGCACCCTTCCAGCATGTTCCGGTGAGAACCACGTTCCTCCGTTCTCAGATTTGTTTAATGGCGATTTCCATCGATTTCCATTGCTCTCCTGCAATCAGAATCCAGTTGCTTCGCAGTTGCAACCACCTCAAATTGCTTAGCAGCACCCCGACAGAACTGCAAACAAAATGCGCAGACCTGGCCAAGCATCAGTTCTAGTCACTCCAGTGAAAGCCCGAGCATTCTTGGCCATTGGTTTTATTATTACCTATTATAGAACCTGAGTGACCTCTATTTTGGACCACCAATCACCCAACATATTGTTTTTTTCCTATCAAAACAGGGGATGATGAGCACCTGCTAGAAGTAGGATTCTGCAGATTTCTGCAGATGTACTATTAGACCTTAATTTGATCTTGACCGCGGCCACCTGGCTCGAACACGCAGTCCCGGGTGTCGCAGCCGTGACCGGGGATCACGTGACCAGCCAGGCAGGACGAGATCCACGAAGGTCACCAGACACAACCTGTCTGGGACTGCCATCTTGGCCCAGTATGTGGTTGATTTCCGGGGTCATAGATAAATCTTTCGTCCAGTCCCAGTGTCAGTGTCTGGGGTTATACCTGGGAGTCCAGTCGTGTCTGGGTTTCCAACATTTTGGCCGGACAAGCTGGCTGTGGAAGTCACTTTGGTTCCTAGAAGTTGTGTTCCCAAACGACCAATGGGTGGCTTCGATATGGCCTACATTCACCATCGCAACACCCTCGCTCGAATGTAGGGCCGGGTTTTGGACACCCCAGCCTCAGTTCCATCATGAAAAGAACAGTTGACCTGGCTTTACCAAAAACCATGGTTCTTTGGTAAAGACCGTTCAAACAGATAGTGGTTGTTGGACTCCTACGGAATCAGCATCCGATGTCTCAGCTTCCCAGCTTCACGTCCGACTGGGCACATCGAATGGAACGGAACGTCGCCACCAACGACGGGGGGCCATTGAGGGCGTCAGGAGATCAGTGGATCGTCTGCCACGGTCCTTTCGGGGGTTTGGGGGTGTGGGACACCCCACAAGGACATCCAGGCGGATTGGGTTGGGTAAACCTGCGACCTGGAAAACAACATGTTGGACCTTTCTGAAAACCCAGAAAACTGAGGGAGTCCAGAAAAAGCACGGATGGACATGTATTCTGAATCTTCGACTTGGATCCATCTCGAAGTAGACCCTTAAAACATCTTCAAATCCATCCCAATGTAGGCCTACATACATGGACTTCTCTCTGGAAGTACGAACCTTTTGACTTGATCCCTTGGAATCCCTTAAAATCCGACCCCGCAGGCCACCGGTGACGGGTGGCCATGGCCTATGACGAGCCGCGCGGCCGAGTAGACTACACCGTGGGCGTCCGCGGGAACTGCGGAACGACCGAACACCGCTGGGCGAAGACGAATCCGAATTGGCGGTTGCTGATTGCTGGTCCTCGTGCCATGGGAACATTGAGGGCGTTTGAATTTAGACCTGGGCATGGCCCAGGGGACTTCTTCGTGTCGTGTATGTTCGTGTCGTTGCGTTTAGAGGTCCCGTTTGATGGATCGTTTAGAGGTTCATGGTTGAAGAGATTGTCTTACTTTGGCCAAATGACACAACATATTCTTTTGTTCGGAGATACTATCGAAATCTATCAGAGTGTTCGTTTAAGATGCGTTTTCGTTATATACCGCAACAACATTCTCAAAGGAGTTCTTCTCAGGCAGGGTGTGGCATGGTGTGGCCTTTTAAATGGTATATGAAGGTCTACGTATCGGGGTCAAGACAACTGCTAGTGGCGATGTGGTCGGCGGCTCGTGATGTGATGTGGTCCACAGATCGCCGAATCGGAGAAACTCCAAGCACCGATTTGATTTATCAGAGATTTGTTTGATTAATTAAACCACTTGATGTTCAAAGTTCAATTTGATTTGATTTAAATTTATGAACTATAATTAACTATTGATCCATTATCATTTATCATGGTCTTTATATATATATATATTGGAATAGGTTTTGCTAAACACTTTGGAACCAGAGTGTGCTCCTGACCACCGCTTGTCGTGTGCTAGTGACAACTAATGACTTCCTTTCGGAGCTTTGTACCCATTCGTTTTTCAGTATCCTACACAGTTTCAGAATCACCGCAGGCCTGTGCTTTCCCAGAGATTTTCCCTGTTCCTACTACTGTATTTATAGTAAAAAGGACATGCCCTTTGCTCTAGGTCCTCATTCAGCAAATTCGAACTTTTGACCTCAAATTGGCAAGCAAGAATTGGCAAGCAAGAATGGCCACCAAATACGCCTCAAACACGCCGCTCCCACTGGCCGGCAGCATTCAAGTCCGCCGGCTTTCAAAAAACTTACCAGACCCCCAAAGCAAACATGGGTTTGACATGGTTTGACCATGTTCTTCCGATTTGTTCCACTTCCCATGTTTTTTTTTCGCTCCGCGTGGAGCTCTTGAGCTGCAGCGGAACGTTCCTCTTTCTTTTGTCCAAGGTCACACGATTTGCGGGACAGTCTCCCGCTAGCTGCTTGTCTTCTCACGGCACGGATGATCGCAGTACCGATCTGAGCACCGCTCTTGGACCAAGAAGTGCTCAGTCGACGAGGTACCAGGTCTGCAGGTAGTTGTACCAGGTCTGCAGGTCACCACCGGTCTCCTTATTCTGCCATCCCCAGAACGGACCTCGGAGACCTGGTCCGGGTCTATCGGGTCCGTCGTATATCGAAGACCAGCATCCCCAGTGGTCCAAGCATCGTCCGAGAGTCCAGTGGGTTTCCACGTACTCCGTGGGGTTCCCATCTGCTGGGTGGGTCATCCGGTCTGAGTGGTCTGAGCCTTGTGCCTTGCAAAGCTCTGAAAGTCACGGGTTCAGATGGGTCGTGGTCATGGCTTCAATCTGGGGAGATTGGGTGACCTTCATGATCCCTCATGTGGAGTGGCATTTGGTGAAGATTCCATGGGTTTGGGCTCATGATCGTTCGCATAATTACAAGCCAAGAAAACCAGCACCACCCAGGAGATGGGTGGTTATTGGATGGAAAATACATCTTCCGTCTATCCTTTGGGTGTTGCTGGTATGTATACATTGACCCCTAAGCAAGATCAACCACCCCAAGTGATTGGTCAGATAGTCCCAGGGCGAGTCGTGTTGGGCGATATCAGGCGATATCCAAAACGAGAACGGGAGGGGGGGTGAATCCAGACACATCCTGCTGCCTAAAGAATCCGGACACAACCGACTTGGGAACCCAGGCATCCCTGAAGAATCCACATACACGACTGGAGTGGAAGAGCTGCATGGGTGTGTGGAGCTGCTCAGAAGCCACGGTGCCATGTGGGCAAGCATGTCAGTCCCATGGGTGCCTGGGAGCAGCTGTTGCTTTCGGTCGGGCAGATCATGCAAAACTCTGTCAGCGATACGTATAAATCGAGCGACGAACAACCCCGATGCCACTCCAAATTGGAGCACTAGCTGCTGATGTTGAGAAAAAGAACTGCTCAACACATCTCAATTCACTGCTCGTTCCACTCCTTCTTTCAGTGGCGGCTTGCATGATATGGATGTGGAATAGTATGGCGAAATCGAAACACATGTTCTCCCTGTCTCAAGAGACCCAATTTCTTTGGTGACCTTTCTCGGAAGTCTGTCAGAGAGTCCACCTGTCTACCTAAGGACTTTCTCTTCCGCTCCTTGACTGCAGGTCCTTCCAGGGCTCCGGAGCAGGTCCTTCCAGGTCTTTCAGTGATAGAGCCTGTTCCTGTTTGATGGGTGTGAGGCATATATGAGATATTTTAAAATGTGAGACCTGTGAGACCCCCCAACGAATGAGTGTTGGTGTAACAAATGGATTCCAGGTGCCGACGACTCTTCCGCGGTTCCGGCGGTCCCTCCGAGTCGCGGTTCACAGTGGCCTGGTTTCCGACTCGCGCGGACTGTGAAGTAGGGGAGTTTGGGGTTCAGTTTCACCTGTGAAGACCTCAGGCTCCAGCTACCCAACCAATTCCTGGCTTGCGTCGCACCTGTCACATTGGTTGGAGACATGCCCCGTGACGTGGACGGCGGCTGCTGTCCGCAGTGACGACACGTCACAGATGTCCCCCTATAATTGGTGTGAGCTATTAGGCTTCCAAAGATGATGCACGTAGATAACTTGGCATAAGTCAGTTGAAAGAGCCAGTGCTGCAGTCAGACGCCTTCGATAACTTTTGTGTTTTACCTTTTGCATGTTTTGTTTGCATTTGCAACTTGTTGTTATAAGCACCCAGGAATGAAGTGCTTGGAGACAATCAAAGACTTACAGACTTAGAGATACCATGACCATCCTGTTTGGGTGTCCTGACTGGACTACCCTACACTATCCTACACGTACTATCCAGGATCTCGATTGGGCACCCCTCGAATGGTCCAGGTCGGAAACCATTCGTGGCGATTCGTGGCGAATTCGACTTCGGATCAAAGCGACGAGGGCGATGTTTCTTCAACGTCCCGAGGTTGCAACTACTGCATAGCGCTAATCGGACAGGACACTGGGCAGTTGGGCTTGCCATGAGGAAGCTGGGATTGCGGTCGGATTACGCTGATCTTGGGATTCCCCTATCCCTGACT